ACACACACACACACAGCTTACACTGTTCCTCCTTGGTGTAGTAGTACTCCTTATCGATATGCACACGCTCATCTATGGTGTGAGACAGCAGCTCGAAGGAATTCATCACCTCGATGTTCCTGCCCTCCTGCTTCCCGATCAGAGCTCCAATCACTGAGCAGGACAGAAAACAACATCTGTAATGCTCTGTGTATTACATTACTCAACATCTGTATTACATTACTCAACATCTGTAATGCTCTGTGTATTATATTACTCAACATCTGTATTACATTACTCAACATCTGTAATGATCTGTGTATTATATTACTCAACATCTGTATTACATTACTCAACATCTGTATTACATTACTCAACATCTGTATTACATTACTCAACATCTGTATTACATTACTCAACATCTGTATTACATTACTCAACATCTGTAATGATCTGTGTATTACATTACTCAACATCTGTATTACATTACTCAACATCTGTAATGCTCTGTGTATTATATTACTCAACATCTGTATTACATTACTCAACATCTGTAATGCTCTGTGTATTATATTACTCAACATCTGTATTACATTACTCAACATCTGTAATGATCTGTGTATTACATTACTCAACATCTGTATTACATTACTCAACATCTGTAATGATCTGTGTATTACATTACTCAACATCTGTAATGATCTGTGTATTATATTACTCAACATCTGTATTACATTACTCAACATCTGTAATGATCTGTATTACATTACTCAACATCTGTATTACATTACTCAACATCTGTAATGATCTGTGTATTACATTACTCAACATCTGTATTACATTACTCAACATCTGTAATGATCTGTGTATTACATTACTCAACATCTGTATTACATTACTCAACATCTGTATTACATTACTCAACATCTGTATTACATTACTCAACATCTGTAATGATCTGTGTATTACATTACTCAACATCTGTATTACATTACTCAACATCTGTAATGATCTGTGTATTACATTACTCAACATCTGTAATGATCTGTGTATTATATTACTCAACATCTGTATTACATTACTCAACATCTGTATTATATTACTCAACATCTGTATTACATTACTGAACATCTGTATTGGTCAGACTCACCCTGCATCGGTCGTCCCTCTTGAGAGCGGATCCGTATCCAGTGGTCAGAGATGTTGAGGATGACCAGAGGATGTAAAGCTACAGACACACTCCCAGTGACCCCTGCTGCCATGACGCTGGGGCCGGCTACACACACACACACACACACACACACAGTCCAGATACACACACACACACAGTCCAGATACACACACACAGTCCAGATACACACACACAACACACACACACACACACACACACACAGTCCAGATACACACACACACAGTCCAGATACACACACACACAGTCCAGATACACACACACACACACACACCACACACCACAGTCCAGATACACACACACCACACACACAGTCCAGATACACACACACACACACACAGTCCAGATACACACACACACACACAGTCCAGATACACACACACACACACAGTCCAGATACACACACACAGTCCAGATACACACACACACACACACACACAGTCCAGATACACACACACACAGTCCAGATACACACACACACAGTCCAGATACACACACACAGTCCAGATACACACACACACAGTCCAGATACACACACACAGTCCAGATACACACACACACACACACACTCCAGATACACACACACACAGTCCAGATACACACACACACAGTCCAGATACACACACACACACACACAGTCCAGATATACACACACACACACACACAGTCCAGATATACACACACACACACACAGTCCAGATACACACACACACAGTCCAGATACACACACACACAGTCCAGATACACACAGTCCAGATACACACACACACACACACAGTCCAGATACACACACACACACAGTCCAGATACACACACACACAGTCCAGATACACACAGTCCAGATACACACACACACACACAGTCCAGATATACACACACACACACACACAGTCCAGATATACACACACACACACACACACACACACAGTCCAGATACACACACACACAGTCCAGATACACACACACACAGTCCAGATACACACAGTCCAGATACACACACACACACAGTCCAGATATACACACACACACAGTCCAGATACACACACACACAGTCCAGATACACACAGTCCAGATATACACACACACAGTCCAGATATACACACACACAGTCCAGATACACACACACAGTCCAGATACACACACACAGTCCAGATACACACAGTCCAGATACACACACACACACAGTCCAGATACACACACACACAGTCCAGATACACACAGTCCAGATATACACACACACAGTCCAGATACACACAGTCCAGATACACACACACACAGTCCAGATACACACACACAGTCCAGATATACACACACACAGTCCAGATACACACACACACAGTCCAGATACACACACACACAGTCCAGATACACACACACACACACACAGTCCAGATATACACACACACAGTCCAGATACACACACACACACACACAGTCCAGATACACACACACACAGTCCAGATATACACACACACAGTCCAGATACACACACACACACACAGTCCAGATACACACACACACAGTCCAGATATACACACACACAGTCCAGATACACACACACACACACACAGTCCAGATACACACACACACAGTCCAGATATACACACACACAGTCCAGATACACACACACACACACACAGTCCAGATATACACACACACAGTCCAGATACACACACACACACACACAGTCCAGATACACACACACACAGTCCAGATATACACACACACAGTCCAGATACACACACACACACACACAGTCCAGATATACACACACACAGTCCAGATATACACACACACAGTCCAGATACACACACACACACACACAGTCCAGATACACACACACACACAGTCCAGATATACACACACACAGTCCAGATACACACACACACAGTCCAGATACACACACACACACACACAGTCCAGATATACACACACACAGTCCAGATACACACACACACAGTCCAGATACACACACACACACACACAGTCCAGATATACACACACACAGTCCAGATATACACACACACAGTCCAGATACACACACACACACACACAGTCCAGATACACACACACACACACAGTCCAGATACACACACACACACACACACACACACACACACACACACACACACACACACACACACACACACACACACACACACACACACACACACACACACACACACACACACACACACACACACACACACACACACACACACACACACACACACACACACACACACACACACACACACACACACACAAACGTTAGCCCGCTTTCAGTAGCTAACTCTTCACCTACCACCTTTAACAACACAAAACTCGTCACTTCCGGTCCCTCGAGGGAAGCAGGCATGTTACGATCTACAGTTTCATGTAGAAATCATTTTAAAACAGACAGAAGAGAGAAATACTCGCCTGCCCCATCCACTTCCATTCCTCCACCATTGCTGGTCGCCATCTTGTCCGGTAAACCGCGCAGGCGCACTGGACTGTTCTCATAAAAGAGCTCAACAGTGACTGCCCGCTTTTTCGGCGGCTCTGGTTCCGGAAGTACTTTTCCACCAGTCAAATCCTCCACTGACATTTCACAAAATATTTATTCAAAGAGATTGAAGCCTGTTACCATGACAGTCAGCTACTCCAATACTCGTGATTTTAAAACATTAAATTCGGCGTAAGAACGGCTTTAAAAAACTGAGGAAAGGCAGAGGTAAAAGAGTATATACATATTGTTTCCAGAGTTAAAGAACTACACATCCCACAATCCATTGCGGGGTATAGGACTGGAGCAGCAGAGTGACAGCTAAATATTGGTATCGAAAATAAAATGTGGCATAAAACCAAAACCTTAAACAACCTCGTTTTAAGATTGCCACTGTTTATTCACTACACCACCCATAATCCTAGAGTATCACGGCGTCGTCTCTGATTGGTGGAGCCCGCTGTTACCATGGAAATATTTCCCGCCCCT